AATAAAGAACTATTTTAAAAATAGAGAAAAGCAGTTATTTAAAAATAGACAAGAAAAGCAGGTGTTAGTAAAATGAAAATAGTGTTTTCTCTTTGGCAAGAAGCAATCTTAACACTACTAAAAAGGGATTTGAAGGGCTGCCTAATTTTGGAGAGGGCCCAAAGGAACACCTGCCCTTTGCCATAAAAGTCTTCAGAAAGCCTCTCACACACGTGACACAGGGGGGACAAGAGGGCTGAATTAGTACTGGCTGCAAACCTCAGCAGTGAACTTCTCATTGCTAAAGATGTTCAAGTAAAGAATGAATAGCTTTTTGCTGGACATTGTATGAAAGTAATTCCTAATCAATCGAGAGTTGGCTAGAGCTAGAACCCTTCCAATACCGGTATCACTCTAAAAAGGACTTCTTGCTGCAAATCCTCCTACTTTAGGTCTGACGAAGTCTACTGCAATTCAAAACTGATTCAAATCCTAAGCCATTGTATGTTCCAGAAAGCTGTCAATACCAAAATTCTATTCCCAGGAGGCCTAAAAAGTCAGACCAGTGAATAGCCAGTGACATAACTGCCTCCTCTCTCTCCAGGGACATCAGTTACACCACAGACCACATCTAGCACTCCTTCAAAGAGGATGATGCCAACAATGTAATACTCATGTCTGAGTGACAATCAATAGGCCTGTACAAGTAAACTAATGGTTAGAGGTTAATTAATGCAACCCAAATCACAATCATATTTACTATGGCTCTCAAGGTTGATCATACCTATGAGATAATAGGAATATATAAATTCATACACACCCCTCCCAGGTTCCTGATCCAGGGATCCTAAAACCCTTGTAAAATCCTAAGTAATAAGAACACTAAGAGCATCTTCTGTCTACTATGGTGGGCTCTTCAATGGCTCTTGGATGGAGGCTGGTCACCAGAAAGACCAAGCCATAATTAAAAGCTTGGAATTTTCAGCATTCCCCTCCTATTCTCCAGAGAGGGGAGAGAAGCTAGAAAGAGAGTTAATAAGTAGTCATGCCCACATGAAGCAGCTTCCATAAAACCCCAATAGTATGGGGTTGGTGAGCACATCCATGGAAGGATGACACCACCACCCCCTCCACGGGACAGAAGCTCCTGCACTCAGGAGCCTCCCAGACCTTGCCCTATGTACCTTGTCATCTAGCTGTTCATTTGTATCCTTTATCATATCAGTTAATAAACTGGTAAACTGTTTCCCTAAATTCTGTGAGCTGCTCTAGCAAATTAATTGAACCTGAAGAGGGGGTTGTGAGAACCTCTGATTTGTAACCAAATCGGACAGAAGTTGTGGGTAACCTGGGGATGCAGTACTTGTAATTGGCATCTGAAGTATGGTGGCAGCAGTTCTGTGGAACTTGACCCTTAACCTGTGGGATCTGGCGCTATCTTTAGGTAGACAGTATTAGAATCAAGCTAAATTGTAGGACACTCGGCTGGTGTCACAGAGAATTGCTTGGTGTAGGGTAAAAAAACCTCCACACATTCCGTGACTAGAAGTGTCAGAAGTAAAAGGTTCTGTGTTAGTAAGTAAAGGAAACACACAGCAGGGAAACACTAGGTTTTCCTCCTAGAGAAAGAGGAGAACTGAGTTTTTTCTAATACAATACCCATTCGAGACACTTACGAGCTAGCACCAAGGCCTGTCATATTATATAACAGACCCATCCCTTCTCATCAAGGAACAAACAGAAATGTAGTACAGAGTTAGCGTGGGCATCATTTAAAACTGTGTCCTGACTGTCCTACAAAATATTATAGGCAACAATTTGTAAGGCCCTAAGCACATCATTAAGGTGGTCAACAAAGAGGGTTAACATTCTGAGCAGGGCGGTTCTAATTACCATGCAATGGGACACTGTTTTCTAGCCCTTTGGGGGAATGCAACCAAAAGCCTCAATAGCTCTATTAGTTTCCTAGGGCTGCCACAGACTAGATGGCTAAAACAACAGACATTTCTTCCCCGCAGTTCTGTAGGCTAGAAGGTGTCTGCAGGGGTAATTTCTTCTGAGGCCTCCCACCTGGCTTCTCAATAGCTGTCTTCTCCCTGTGTCTGTGTTCTAATCCCCTCTACTTATAAGGACACCAGTCATGTTGGATTAACATGTTTAACTTTAGTTACCACTGTAAACTAATCAGTAGGGAGTCGGCTAGAGCTAGAACCCTTCCAATTCAGACATCACTCTAAAAAGGACTTCTTGCTGCAAATCCTCCCAACTTTGGGAGGAATTATACTCCATGGGGATAAAAGGCATCCAAATATGGCCACTGTAAGGTGGCAGTGTCTTCCTAGTTCCCTGTCTATTTGCAAATAGAGGTCAAACTCACTATTGCCAGTAGCGATTTTTAGTTCTTCACTATTCATGTTATTTCCTGAAAGCATGTTTCTTTTCCTGTCCCTTAACACTTGCTCAATTGCTTAATAACAGCAATATTCCATAGGCACATGTACATGGTAAGGATTTTATAGAATTTAGGTTCATCACTGTGTTCACTAAACTAATTCTGTCCTAGACTCTGAATGTGAACACTAAACAAAACTAAGTTAGTGGAGGACAGCAATGAACCAGGATAAAGGATAAAATGAAATGTCATAAGCCTAAAAGAAGAATAACTTTAAAAGCAGACATAAAGGTAATGGCCTAGAAGTGACAATGGACTGTGAAATACCAATTCGCAACCCCAGTATAGGGGGATTTATTAAAGAATGTTATGAATATTTCACCTTGGGAAAAGACTTGGGGCTGCAAAATTATTTCGGTTCAGACAATACTATATTACATAAAGGAGTATATTATATGGGAAGCAGAACTCTATAGTTGTTAAGAATATGATCTCTGGAGCCAGGCTGCCCGAGGTTTTAACCCCAGTTCTGCCATTTACCAGCTGTGTAATCTTGAGTAATTTCTTTAATTGCTCTGTTCCCGTTTCCTCATCTGCAAAATGAGCATTACAATAATACTTACCTCACAGAATTGGCGTGAGGACTAAATGACCTACAAATTTTTAAATGCTTATAATGGTACCTGGGAGCCATTAAGTCCTCAGAGTTTGTTCACTTAATAACTAAATACACAACAGCACATGTTTCATCAGAAACATTACAGCAGAGAGGTTAAAACCACAGACATTGAAGTAAGATTCTGTGGGACTGAATGACAGTTTCTACTGCTTATAAATAATTTCCTGAACCTCTCTGCATCACAATGTCTTCAGCAATAAAATAGATTTATTTGGATTATGCACTTAATCACTAAAATGGACTTGTATTATCACCTTATCAGGGTATTTTAAGGATTAATTTCAACACATATAAACCATTTAGAAAAATGCTTAGTGCACAGTAAATGCTCAGCAAAAGTTACCTATTCTTATTCTTTTGTTGTTTCATTTCTTGACTTTTCTTGACTAAACCAGGTGAAACAAAGAGTCTGTCCTGTTTTTACTAGGTTTATCTAACATGTGAATCAGTCAACCAATAATCTCATGACGCAATCCTTACTTCTGACGACAGAAGCATGATTTCAAAACATTAGGTATATTGGATTTCTGCCGCCTGCCATGATGGGGAAACAGAGACCAGGTTTACCCTAGTGCCTTAAAAACTACAAAAACAGAAACATGCGAAACAACAGTTTTTAGACACTGCATAAAAAGTTAATATAGAGAGTAAGCTTTAAAATTGACCCAAAGTCATTCCTAACATTAGAGGACATTTCTAGGATGCAACACTAGAAAGGGGTATCCAAAAAGTGCCCAGCAGTCTCCATGAGTTGAGGAGACAGAATTAAGAATTTGGGGAGGCTAAGGTGGCTAGAATTTGGAAGGCAGAGAACCAGAGAGAGGACTATACGGAGAGAGCTCAGCAAGGGGTTCCTCTCAAGTTTTCAGCTGAGTACCAATCAATGCATGTGGGTAAGGAAACTATCCAAGAAAATCAGCAGGTGGTACACTTCCCAGAGCTCACACAGGGCCAGGAATAGATCATGTTCACACCAGTCTGAGTGGAAAAAACATAACGCAGGGGCATCGGGTAGAGTACTCAGAAAGTACTGCCTCAATATTAAGAAAAATGTATCCCCAAATGTTGCTCTGGGCCCACTAACAAAGCCTAAAAGTAATCCCTAAAAACATCAAACTATTTCCAAATATATATTTTTTAATCCCCACCTGAGGATAAATTTTTACTGATTTTAGAGAGAGAAGAAGGGGGGGGACATCTATGTGAGAGAAGCATTTATCAGTTGCCTCCCATACCCCCCAACCCCTCCACCCCCCGGTATCAAACCTGAAACCTACACATGTGCCCTACAGGGAATCGAACTGGCAACCTTTCGGTACACAGATGACACTCCAACCGATGAGCCACACAGGCCAGGGCTATTTCCAAATAATTTAACTGTATCCCAAAACAAAATTCAAGGAGCTTTAAAGAAATACAAACATATCTAGTAAACAAGGTAAAATCATCTTGCCATATTATTAAACTGGTACTTTGCATGGGACAGATATCAAATAATCTCACTTAAGTCTGTATAAGTTGTGCTTCTACTTAAACTTTTCATTTTCCAGGTTACTTTTTTTTTCTAACAAAAAGCTTAACATATCTATTGATAGATCGTACCTTCCATCTTGAAAATTGTTTTCAATTGGCTTCCAACATACCTCTCTGTTAGTTCTTCTACTTTCTGAAGAGTTATTATTCCTTTTCAGTCTGTCCTTTGCTAGTTCCTCATTTCCCCAACGGGGTGATCACAGTTAGGATGGGCACGCATCTATCTAACTACTAGATACCCTACTTTCTCCTGAAATGCTGAGCAGAGATCTGTGAAATTCCTTTTATCCTTCTCTGTGACAAGGCCATGACTTTTATTCAGTTTCTCCTCATTATTAAGGAGAAAGGTATGGGTTTTACCTATTAGGCCGGAAGCAATCACCCAGGCCAACATTCACACCACAGCAGGTTTCTTACCTCCACTGCAGTGGGCGGCTGGAACAGGGACTGCCAGGATTGCTATGGGCTTGTGGGTTCAGGAAAAAAGCCAGAGGAGAAGCAGCCAGAGCACAATCAGCACTATATGGAACTTTAATGAGGGACAGGGCTGGAACCGATGTGGGTGAAAACATGTGCTGGTTTACTTCTGATCCTCGGCAAAAAGAAGAGATTCTGACAAGGTACCATAGTAGAAAAAAACAAGGTCAGTGATCACTTTTAACCAAAAAGAAACATCTTCAAAGTGGGTTAATTTAGGCAAGAGACTTAAGAAAAGTAAGTAGTCAAAAATCATTCTCAAATATCATACCTCAGTACCAATGTCGGCATAGAATGACCATTGAGACTAAAATTTAATCTACAAAATTTAACGGAAAAACTCAAGCTTTAGGTATTCAAAGTATTTAGAATTTACTTCTGGGAAACACTGCAAATTTACTACAACTCATCAATTAGCAAGCAATAGGTGATATTTTGTGTGCAATGACTAAAACTTCCTAGAGAAATGTTTATTTCTATAAAACATTCTCAACAGTTTATAAATTATTAGATTGTATCTACAACACCACCAACTTATGTAGCTAATTTTTGCCTAATGAGTATATATCAAATAATGTCACAACTCTGTATAATAAAAATTGCTTCTACTTAAAGTTTCATTTTCCAGGTTAATTTTTCCCTCTAAAAACAATCTAACCATCTTGATGTGTTAAATGCTAATGAAAACTATTAAGTAAATAAGATTAGACTGAAAACAGATGGTAAATATAGATTTCTACTTTGTTGATCATTGACAGATATGCCAAAGATGATGACAAATTATTGACAGATTCACAGCATTTAATTTGCTATAGAAGCCGCATGGCTTTCTATACAAATACCATATTAAACTACAATATTTTATTTCCAAGATCAAAAAAAAAAACACCTTAATACCACATAAGCACCTGATCTGTTTAAAAATGTTAGTTTCCTGTATTGTTATTGCTGACTGTTTGGATATAGATATGCAACATGCTACTTGTGTTTAATTACATATATTCAAAGGAAATCTTTACCTTCCTATCCCTCTAGCTGTCTCCAGCATATTTCTCAGATAAGTACACAATATGAGGATATAATAGTATAGGAAAGCGGAGGACAGACAACTATTTAAAATTACAGGGATGTCCAAATTTCCATAAACTCAACATATTTTTTTAAATTATAAGTAAAAATATGAATTTCTGACTTCAAGAATTTTCACTTTTCTAAAGAACTATTTCAAAAATAAGCTCCCTAATATATATGTAAACTAGAGCTAATTAGGACATATAATAAGACATTTAGTTCTTGTTAAACTGAATACTACTGCTTATTCAAAATTTTGGAGACTTAAATCTTATCACATAAAATGAGGTTTTAGCCATTTTTATGAACAGAAAATTAGGATTACAAAAAAAGTCTAACCCAAACCAAACCTCCTTTTGCTCCTAATTACCACTCTGTAAACTGGTTATACACTGGGGCTGGCAAGAGTCTAAAAAGGATTGTTTGAAAAAGTTAAAGTGATTAATAAACTATTTACTAGATCCTCAAGGAGAATTTTCCTAACCTAAATTCAAAGTCACTAAAAAAGATACAATGATTACCATATACCAGTGTACCAATATTTGGAGAAAATGGTTTTTGACCACTTATGCTTTCTTAAACTACAAACTCAAATAAAAATTTTCAATTTTGTTAAGTCATCTTTAAATGACACTTTAGTTGCTAAAGCTTCTTTTTCATAGTCTTAAACTTTTTAGTCTTAATATGGGATTAAACCATTTCTTTAAAATACAGTTGAACCTTAAACAATGTGGGATTAAGGGCACCAACCTCTCATGCAGTCAAAAATCCGTGTATAACTTTGACTCCCCAAAAGCTTAATTACTAATATCTGCTATTGACTAGAAGGAAGCCTTACAAATAATATAAATAGTCAATTAGCACATATTTTGTATATGTATTATACTGTATTCTGACAATAAAGTAAGCTTGAGAAAAGAAAATATTATTAAGGAAGATAAAATACCTTTACAGTACTTATTGAAAAAAATCCACATATAAGGAGACCCAGGCAGTTCAAACCCATGTTGTTCAAGGGTCAACTGTATGCCAATCCTTATATACTTCAAACAAGTCTGCTTTTCCAAAGTCTGGTAGAATCATTAATTCAATTAATGAGCATCCAAACATGGAAGAGTAATGACCCAAAGGAAGCCCACTGAAGAAGCCTGTCTATTTGAGTACGCCATGCTATCTCTGGGTAAGCTCTAACATTCAGGGGAATAAAAGTGCACTCCCTCTGCCCTGTGAGTTACGCAAAGGCAGTTCAAGACAGATCACTGAGGTGGAACGGATTCTAGGACACTTCTGTCCCTGGTTCCCCAATTTCCTGATCAAATCACTCAGCACTTTGTTAAATAAGCCTGAGCAGCTCTTGGAAAAGATACCCTGAGGTGAAAGGGTTCTTCCATTCCCCAGCTTTGAAATACTCGCCTAAATACATTTCTATATTGGCCAACACAGAAATAAAATTTAGGTCACACCCTAAAGGACTCAGGCTTGGATCTGCAAAGGCAGATCTGATGTCTTTAGCTGACAGGCCAGGGCAGAAGTACAATAACCTCTCTAATCAAAGGAGATGCTTTCATTTCCATTTGTTTTTCACATTCATGGGGCTTGTATTTGCAGCTTTGACACTAACTTTAAACATCTGCTTTCAAGGCAGGAATAAAAACAAAACAATCAATCCTCATTGTTACCCCAGTTCCCCAAGTACCTAAGAACCCCTAAAATGACATCTAACTCAATTTTCAGAATTAGAAACCCCACATGCCTCTGCCAGGGACCACTGTTTTGACCTTGAATTTATGAAGCCAGCTCAGTCCGCTTGCTGAGAGACATCTCCAAAGCAGAGTCTTTACCCAAGTAAATGAAGATCTATTACTTGGCATTATTTTCCTAACAACTGCAGTTTCCACTCAGAGACCCCAGCCTCCTTACTGAATCCGCAGGCATGGTGCTCCCAGTCTCTCTCTCCTCCGTTTCATCATTTTCCTGGCTACTCAAGCTTTTGCCCTCTCACACTGGAGTCTTGGCAGGAAGTTCTCTCACACAAGGGGTATGCAGTCTATAAGCCAAAGGAAACTTACAAAGGCTTCTCAAAATTAAGAGAAAAATTAAAGCACTTTTCTTCAAAAACATAATATTCAGGACCTCCCCCCTAAAGACCTAAGAGCCCAGGAAGCAGCGGTGAGAGTGAGGAGTTCCAGATCCCAAATGAATCAGCTGTCCGTCCTCTGATCTGCTTGACATCATTCACACTCAGCCTGTAACAAATCAGAGCTCCAGAGAGCACCCTGTTCCTCCTCAGTAACAAGCACCAAACTCCCTCCCCCACAAATCAGCTGCAACCTCCAAGTCTGAGGCCTGGCAGCAGAGAACATGCTGGCAGAAACTATACATACCAACTTGAAAACTCACCCTGTGACAGAAATACTATTAACTCAGGAGGCATGGGCCAGGCCAGAACAGCTGTTGCAGCAGGCAGGGGAGAGGAAGACAGCATATTATGGATCCCAAATCATTAAGTTAATGAGCTAAGGATATGTGGCATTTCTGCAACATTATTCGCTCTCAAACCCAGGCCTGCGGAAGATGACAGAGCCTTAAGGTTAGGGCTTAAAGCATAATCATTATTCAAATTCTGAATCTGATCAATTTAAGTAAACTCTGTATCCCTTCTTTAGACAAAGTTCTGAGCCGTTTTCTATTCAATTTCTACCACTCTCTAATCACTTGAATAACCTTGTAGTGAGGAAAAGCCACAGAGAAAGTTAAGAAAATAAGCCCAGAAACTACTTAAATTCATTCAGGAACTATTAATGAAATCATATACATGGCAGATATTACAAAAGATACTGAGGTAAGCTGCAGAAGAATTCTAAGGGTAAGCTAACTAACTTCTGTATGCTTCAGTTTCCCCACCTGTAGAATGAAAATAATTAAGGTACCTAGTATATAGATTGTGGTAAAGATTAATATATGTGACACAGAGAAGTGCCTAGCACAGAGAAAGTGCTATAGAACTGTTAGCTATTATTATAGGCCTTGCCCTCCAGGAGCTAGCTCTCAATCTAAAGGAGATAAGCCCAAACACGGAAGAAACCATCTGATGGAAACAGCCTGGCATGAAGAGAAGAGCCAAGTGATCAAGTAAACTGTCCAGCTAAACACTGACAGCTAAGGAAACCAAGAGTAAGCAAAAGCCTCAGGCCCCTGCTTCAGAACACGTGCCAATTCTAATGGGCTTTTCTCATTCATCCAGATGACAAAGTACGTCAAATTGTTTTTCTAGGGTAACATTCAAAGGATTAATTCATACTCCAACCAATGCTTCTTCAATTGCATGTCACAACTCTTTAGTGAGTCATGAAGTCAATTTAGGAAGTCAGGACCAACATTTTCTTTAAAGAGGAACAGAATGAAATAGAATAGAAAAAAGATATCAGAGTGCTTCACACATAGTAAGGGTAAGAATCATTTGTGAAATTTGTGTTTGTAACATCTGTTACTGAAATACGTATAAATATACAAGTGCAAACACATGTGATGGGTTAAAATGTAAAGTCTATTTGCTATCAAGGGTCATAGTCAGTCTAAAAAATTTGAAAGCCACTGTTCTAACTACCCAAGAAACTCACCCTACCTAGTAGCTCTAGACACTCACTTTTCTCCATGTGCCGACCCAGTCACTAGCCTCTCACAGCTCCTATTTCAGAATCCCCTATTCTCTACAAGTCCTAATGAAAATAAAAATGCTCTCTCAGAAATCTAGCACCTCTCAACAAGTACTGCATCCCACTCTGGGAAAGTCTTGTGATGATTATCAGGGTTGGTCACCGAAGTCCACACTCCCACAACTAAGAGACCAGTGCAGGTTTACCCCCATCCCAAGCTAAGGCTGCACAGTTAAGGCAGGGCCCTAAGTTTCTACTCAATATTCTCCAGTTCTTTAATACCCAAGCCCAGGCTACAAAATGGCAGCAACAACAACATAACAGCAACCAACATTTATAAGTACTTACTAAGCACTCTACACACAATACCCAGGTAGTCCTCATCACAGCCCCTATGATATATGTGCTATTACTATTCACATTATATTCTTTTAAATCCTATCTTCAGCTAAGGTGGTGAATCAAAGTCATCTCTAGAATCAGTGTTATAAACTGCTGTGCTATAATGCCTTTCGGTTGAAGACCCTGAATCCATAGCAAATGGATTTCTCTCGAGCCTGCTCTGCAATAATAAACTGGGAGAGGAGGAAGAGCATGGATCTCCTTAAATAATGCTAAAGTCAGAAAATATTTGCTTGATTTTTAGAGAATGAGAGTCACACCTTATGACCTTCATCTGACCCAAGGAAGATATCACTCTTACTGTCATTAAAATCCACTTGTGTCAATATTCCTGTGGCTTTGTCAGCACTAGGAAAGCTTAACATTTCCCTGGTGACAACTTACAGTATGGCAAATAAAACATCCACCTTTTCTTATTCATTCATGCAACTATTTGTTGACTGTATTATCACATTCAGAGCCTCTACCATGGGCTTCTCACTTTAGAGGTGCTGCAAATTACACAAATACAAGAAAATAAATTCATTAAAGAGATGAGGTGGCCTCTGTCACTTGCTGGCATTCTGCACTGGCAAAGTGAAACCCTAGCCCGGCCGGGTGTGGCTCAGCGGTTGAGCATCGACCTAGGATCCAGGCGATCGGGGTTTGATTCCCGATCAGGGCACATGCCCAGGATGAGGGCTCCATCCCCAGTGGGGGCGTGCAGGAGGCAGCCAATCAATGACTCTCTCATCATTGATGTTTCTCTTTCTCTCTCTCCCTCTCCCTTCCTCTCTCTGAAATCAATAAAGACATATTTTTTTTAAAAAGCAACCATGTCAGATTACAGTCATGAATTGTGAAAATGCAAACTTCAGAAAAACTCTGTCTGAAATTATAAATTATTCGAGCAGCACAGAGTCTTAGAAGTAAGCAGAAGGAAAAATTAACCTGTCAATTCCTTCCTTCCAGGTTAACATGAATGTAACAGATTTCTTGGCTAATACAAGTACTGTTTCCAAGTACAGCCAAACATCCATTTACGTGATTTCTTTCTGTTCCAATTCATGGTTCTAAAGATACTGATAATTTAGCTCAGTATTCATAACAGATCACATGGCAGCTGAGGAACATTTTGCAGAATTACAGAATTTGTATTACTAATAAATGTATTTATGTACAGGGTTAGACATATGTAAGGCCAAAGACAATTTTTTATACTGATGGTTGAACAATTACTAAAATTACAATTTGTTTTTATAAAAATATGCACTTAGATATATCTAGAAATCACAATTTTTAAATTTAGCTTATTTAAATAATTTTGACTGAAGAAGAAAAAAAAGAATTGTTTGAAAGAAAGAAATCTTTAAGCTCTGATTTGTCCACCTCATGGGGCACATTGCCAATGAAGAGTTGATGACTGTCAGGCTGTCCCACAATTCTTCAGGGTTCAACATCACCTTGCTGATCTTGCCTCAAGGAGTGGTCTTGATTCCCTCTGGGGAGGAATATTTATTTGTTCTCAAACTCTTTGATCTCTCTGAGTCCTCTGCAGTGGAATTCGAGATTCAGGCTTAGATTCTGGGCAAGGCTGAAAAGCTGGTACTTGAACAACGTGAGGTGGTATCCCAGTAACTAGAATAGCTCCACTGGGTGAAAGGTTCTTACTGGTCACAGATGTCTAGGAAAATGTCCTCAAGTCTTCCTGCACTGTCTCAGCTATGTCTGAAGGTGCTGGAGAAAAACTCTTGTGAGTATCCTCAGGATCTTCCTGGATATGGACTGGAAGACACCTTCAGCTCCTAGAGCTACCATAGTTCCTTGCCACATAGGCTTTTCCAAAATGGGCTGCCTACTTCATCAGGCCACTAGTCTCCACGGTGAGTCTACTTATAACTAGAAAACATCTTATACCATAACACAGTCACAGGACTGATACCCCATCATCTTTACTATGTTCTATTGGTTAGAAACAAGTCACAGGTACTGCCCACATTCAAGGGGACTAGGATTACATAAAAGTTTGAACACCAGGAGGAGGCGGCTGTATGGGGGCCACCTTAGAGTATGTTTATCATACACAACTATGAAGAAGATTCACCAACAAATAATCCCAAACTGATTTCTATAAACTATTTTAGGACCATTACAAATTAAGGTTTAGTTGAATATACTATGTTTGGTTTTCTTTAAAATATCCCAACACTGAAAAGATTAAAGATGATCTGAAAAAATATTACATGGCCCTAGATAATGCAGATAGCAATTTGTAAAATAACATTAAAATACTGTGTAATATCTCTGTGACAACAATTTATCATGAGACTCCATTACAAAGTTTGATGTGTGAAATTAATGGGTCAATTCTAAATCTATGTATTGCTTTAAGATTTTTTTACCAATTCCGATTTCTACTGCTTCAGCAAAACAAGTATCCTTTAAACAGAACTTAAAAATAAGTTACTTTAAATTTTTTATTTATTGATTGATTTGAGGGGGCGGGGAGAGAAACACTGATTTGTTGTTCCACTTATTTATGCATTCATTGGTTGCTTCTTGTATGTGCCCTGACCAGAGATCGAACCTGCAACCCTGGCGTATCAGGACGAGCTAAGCTACCCAGCTGAGCTGCCCAGTCAGGGCTCTTAACTTTATTTTTAAATCTAAGAAATAAAATGACTCAAGAAGGTTTGTGCTAGAAGCACGCTAGGACTTTCCCTTTCCCTTTCCCCTCCCCCCAGGCACATTACTATTAAGCTTCCTAACTCCCAAGCTCCAAGGGCTCTTCCTTTGCCTCTATAACTTGTTTCCTAAGCCCATTTCTTTTAGGAATTACTTTTTCTACCTCTGTGACTTACTAAATGTTCTCTTATTAAAAAATAAGAAAAAAGAAAGTTTGTTAATTTGGCATTGTAAAAATAACAATTTTTTAAATTTTAATATATTTTATTTAAGATAGTATATTTAAAATATCATTTCAATGTATATAATATAAAATAACAACACATTTTATATTCCTTTTCCCCAGTTTTGAGATATAATTCACATAAAATAACACAATTTATAAGAAATCTTGATTACAACAGTAATTTTGCTGAAATAAAAAGCTCCTCAAATATATGGACATTTTAATAACTTAAGAATTATTTGCCTTTACTTTGTTGTTCGAACAGATGAACATCTACTAGATGGTTGCAGTATTAATTCAATTGTTATCTTTGATATTTTACCAACTTTCAATCATATAAAAACTGATAATGGGGGGAAAATGATGACTAGTTGTAACATCTATGGTTCCCTTATCAAGGATGAGGTTTTTGTTAATTTTTAAATGTTTTCCATTTATATCTGGATGACAGCCATGATTTTATCTTTTTTGGAAAATAGCCTGTTAAACAGTGTTGGAAGTCCTCCATCAAAATGCCCAGTGGATTCACCTCACAGAGCCACATGAGGGAAGTGCACTTCATGTGGGCTGCCCAGGTTTCCAGTAGTAAATCTGAAGTGGCGATCTGAAGTTGGCTCCCAGAGGCGTATCTGAAGTTTACTATTCTCTAACTTTTCTAACTTTAATTGTCCTCTATATAATCGGGTTTTATTTTAGGTTTATGGCTGATAAGTTACTCCCATTGGTGGTAGCAATGACTGAGATGCTGTTTTTATGGTCTGAACACTCCAGGTATGTACCCAAGAGAAATGAAAACATATATCCATAAAAAGCTTGTACATGAATGGTCATAGCAATTTTATTCATAATAGCTAAAAACTGGAAACCACCCAAATATCCATCAAACAAATAGTGGTATATTCCCCCAGGAAATACTAAGTATTAAGTGAACAGGAGTTCTGAAACATGAAAAAAGCCAAATACAAAAGAGTAGATACTGTATGATTTTCACATATATGAAAGTTTTCCACAGGCAAAAGTAACTTATAGGGCCATAAAGCAGATCAATGGTTGCCTAAGGCCAAGAGGTAAAAGAAGAATTGACTGCAAAACTACACAAGGAATATTTTGGGATAATAAAAATATTCTATATATTGATTGTGGTGATAGTTGAGGACCCCAAAAAGCTTATTTCCATGGGTTATAATACCCATGATAATTGTACTACAAATAGAAACAAAATTTTTTTATTGGCTTAAACAACATACATTTATTTCTCACAGTTCTGGAGGCTGGAGAGTCTAATAAGATTATACCAGTACAACTGGTTCCTTGTGAGGGCCCACTGGGTTGCGGATGGTCATCTTCTCACTAGGCCCTCAAGGCAGAGAGAAAGAAGGAGAGGAATGGGAAGAGAGAGAGAGAGAGAGAAGGCTCATGATCTACTCTCTCTTCTTCATATAAGGACCTAATTTGATCATGGATACCCCACCATCAGGACTTCATCTAAATCTAATTATCTCCCAAAGGCCCCACTCCAAACACTATCAGATTGGGGGGTAATGAGACAGCAATAGAGACCTTGGCCCAGGATCCCAAGGACACCGAATAAGAAAAACAGCAGAGCTGGCACCACTCTGCCAACCCCTCACTAAGACCTCAAGGATGCCAAATGGCCAGAAGAAACCAGATAAGCCCACCACAAAAATGTCACTACCACTCTACTCCCTGCTCAAAAATATTGCAGAATTTTATCTCCCTTCTATTTGCTTCTCCAACCCCCATGTGGAAAATTTCACTCTCCACTCAAAGTTTGTATGAGCCCTCCACTCCCTTGACAATAAAAGCCTCTCTCCCTCAAACTGTTGGAGGAGCAGCCCCAAACCTTGTTTCTCTTGGGACTGTCTCTCTTGCACTCAAGCATAAGCTTAATGAAACCTGTCTGGAAATTTCTCGGAGATTTCCTCTTGATTTCTATCTTGGAGAACCTGAGAACCCTAACGC